TTCCCCTGTTCTTCAATAAATCAGTTCTAGTCTTTATTCCATCATGGCAGATCCCCGATTTCTACCAAACTGCGATGATGGGACTTTGCCATATTCTTATAAACTGTGTTGTGCTAAGGACGCTGGGAAGAATGAATTAAACTTTCTGATAACTAATGGGCAGAGTAATACAGCCGAGAATATCTTTTGTAATGACAACGCTGCGATTTTAATTTTAAACAGTAATTTTGGTTTAGAGGGCTCAAAATCTGACACCCGAACGCTTCCACCGGTGAATTTTTTCACTGACATATTCGAGGTGAAGTCTACACTTTGATTTTTAAGTGAGCACATTGTCGTGTGATATTTATGAAATTCGTAGAGTCGTTTATATCGCGATCTTTTCAGAGTAATTCTTTTTTCCCTGTGTTTCCTTGTGTGCAATTGCTGTTATCAGGTGCTCCAAGTTTTAGTACCAAAGGATTGTCGGCACCTGCTGTTTAGTGGCAGATTTGTAGAAGCAAAAATTGTTTGTTCTATTCTATGCTATATAGATTCGTATCTTTCCCTTATCTGTGCAGTATCAGACCACCTTCCAATAGTGCATTAAGTATCTGTCACCTCTTTCTTATCATCTTTCCAGGGGGAGAATTGTGGGTTTGTGTTTTGGCAGGGTTTTGATTTTGACTGCGATGTGACTGTGCATCAATGAGTTAAATGTTCCAGCCATAATTTACCTGCCTGGAATTTATGGCATGCTGTAAATATATTCCAATTCTTCTAATATCATCTTCTAATGAGACTTTTCGGACATTTAAGGAGATACTTATTCAAATAATTATTAAATGAGTCATTTTCCCATTCAATTTCACAATGAGTTAACGTCCTTAATAATTAGGGAACATCAATACCATTTCAAATCAAAGCGTGTAACAGAATGCGGTGTTAAATTTTATCATTTGTGATCAACCACCTAATTTATTATGACTTCTGAAGAATCGTGATATATTAATTTGCAAAGTTTGTTTAAACTAATTGATTAGGACATATCTAAGTCAATTAAAAAAACGCATTTCCTCCAGCATAAAAGTTATGGTATCTAAAGAGGAATGATGAGAAAAGGACCGAATATGGTCACCTCTACATGAGGATTCTATAGTCCGTCATACACTGAGATAGTTTTTAATTTCTCGGATTTAACGCCCTCTTAATATCCTTCCCTGTCTGTATCACTCTCTGAAGGTGAACATCTAATTCTGCATTAACAAGTAGAAAACAAAACCTCTCGGGATATCTGTTAGGTCACCGAAAAGGAGCAAACATTGGGAATACCATTTCTCTTTGCTTAGTGGTATAATACAGCATGTAAGATATATGAATTTGAAAGGGACCGTCAGCTATTCCCATTATACACAATTATATATCTCAGGTATTCTGTTCTCACGGGTTGAAAATAACAGGTTTTATTGATAATAAGATGGAAATACAATGTTACAATTACAAATATCCCTTAACGTGCAACAATAACGTGCCTGTGATATCATGGTTCTTCAAATCTCTATTTGAAGGGGAGTAAGGAAACTATAGGAGGCTCTGAATAATTCACAGGAAATGTGTACACCACTTGGTGTTTTCATATTTGTATATCTTTGTGAGTCCTTGACACCAATAGACTTGCTTCATTCTGACAAAGAAAACTGTGACTGCGCACTCTAGTTATATAGCTAAATGGCACATCAGTATTTCAATAGCACCGTTATCTTTATGTAAAATGGATAAGGAATTGTCCGCATTAAAACAACGTAATCGAAAACGCATATGAGTTTATTTCTAATATAAACATCACTCGGTATACATAGCGCTAGAGATTTAAACTAACAGATTAAAAGGCGGATTTGTAAATCATTGCCTGCAGTTATTGGTTGAGACTCTGAGCGCCGCTGTTGACCTATCAGGTGGAGAAACGCGATGAGAGATCCAGCCAGCCCAGCCCCGCAGTTACACAGCGCAAAACACTGAGAGATTACACTCACTCAGAGGGATTGTAAAGGGAACATGGCTGCAGGAATTTTATATAAAACAGTCTTGGTTAAAACATCAGTGGCTGCGGAAACAAAGGATTAAAGATAAGAGAAAATACTCTCAGCCGTGACCCGGGAATCGGAGTTCCATACCCATCGGAAGAGAAATGGCGGATACACAAAGGTTCCGAGTCTGCAAAAAGAGAGTCCAGTTCTATTTTATGTTGGCTACCGTTTGGGAGGCGGTTTCTGGGCAAATTCGCTATTCGATTCCCGAGGAAATGCAGAAAGGCTCCATTGTGGGGAATATCGCAAAGGATCTGGGACTGGATATAAAGGAGCTAACACACCACGGAGTCCGCATTGTTTCCACAGGTAGGACTCAGTATTTTGCTTTGAATCTTAAGAGCGGCCATTTAATCACCACAGAAAGGATAGACAGAGAGCAGATCTGTGGCCGTATCGAGAAGTGTCTCTTAATTTTTGAGGTTCTTATTGAGGATAAAGTGAAGCTTTTCGCAGTTGAAGTTGAAATCACAGATATTAATGACAATGCTCCCACCTTCCAAGCGAATGAGCTAGAGTTAAAAATTAGTGAGATTACAGCTGTGGGGACCCGGATTTCCCTGCAGGAGGCGCAGGATCCAGATGTGGGAATTAATTCCATCCAGAGCTATCAACTGAGCAATAACAAACACTTTTCTCTGGATGTGCAAACTGGATCTGATAGTGTTAAATATGCGGAACTAGTGCTGGAAAAGTCTCTGGACCGGGAAACGCAGACTGTCCATAAATTAACTCTCACAGCAGCTGACGGGGGAGATCCAGTCAGATCTGCCATTGCTCAGATCCGTGTTGTGGTTGTGGATGCCAATGACAATGCACCGCTTTTTACTCAGCCGGTCTATAAAGTGGGTGTTTTGGAAAACGCGCCTCGAGGGTCCTTGATAATTACAATACACGCCACTGACCGGGATGAGGGACAGAATTCTGAGGTGACCTTTTCATTTAGAAAAATTACAGAAAAGGCGTCTCAGATATTCCAGCTTCACCCTAGGACAGGAGAAATATCAACGATAGGTGACCTGGACTACGAGGAAGCTGCATTATATGAAATGGAAGTGGAGGCAAAGGATATTGGAGATCTCTCCGCCAGGTGCAAAGTTCTGATAACGGTTATTGATGTCAATGATAATACCCCGAAAATTGCAATCACTTCCCTGTTCAACTCAGTCTCTGAAGATTCTCCCTCTGGAACAGTAATCTCGATATTAAATTTGCAAGACGGAGATTCCGGCCAGAATGGTGAGGTCACGTGCTCCATACCAGCCAA